TTGGAGAAAAATGACTATAGTAGCTGAAAAAATGGAACCAATTGATGCGATATATCGCATGCCGTTCTGACACAAAATTTGGCGTCCATCGAATCACCTTAAGTATACATTTATCGGGAACAACAATAAAAGTAGAATCGAGAGGTTTTTTTTGTCTTTCCTCAACATTTATTTTTCGTTTTCCAAAGATCACATAATAAAATGCAGTGTTTCAATCCATATGTCGCTACTTGTTTTACATGTGGCTTCTTGAATGTTTAAATTGTCTTGGTAATTTTCTTCTGCCTTCAGGAACAGGATTATTCTCTCATCCGAGATGAGATTCGGCAAGGAAAAAATTAAGAGCCTCCGGATCGCCTAGGTTGTACTTTTTTGCAAACTTCCTAGTGTTGAAATGTGCGCGTCCATATTCACTGTGTAGGAAAAAAAAAATCAAGTAAAAAAATGCGCTCCGTAAAGTCTTTACACTTAAATGAAAACATCCTCCGTCAGCAATCACTTACTTAATTTCATCAGAAAGTAAAATTGTAGATTTTTTTAGAACCTTAGAGCAGGTTTGATTCTAAGCAAAACTATGTCAAAGCTGTGCTGGCTAACTTGGCATGACTATGAAGAAATGAAGATACGAAACGATCTCTCGCGTATTTGATGATTTTTGCTATCTAAAAAATGAATTGAACACAATTGTTTTGAAATGTCGAAATCGGAGATAGGCAATTCCTGATCTTAGTCGTAGATTACTAGATTTCAGGGGCTTGGAAGACAAGGTGCATAAGTGCAGTTTTTGGAATAATTGTGTCATTAATGATTTCAATTAAAACTAGTCTTGCATATTCTGTGAAAAAATTGCTCCCCAATTCCAATTTTTAAGCATCAAAAAGTCAGTTTGAACTTTCCTTCCGCTATAAGAATCCATGTAATTTCGAAACTCCAAACACGTATTTTTCGATGCAGCAAGAAAATGCACTTATGCACCTTGTCCTCCAAGTACTTCATTTCCTCATTACGCACGGTACGGATTGAAATTGGGCGAAATTTTAGCCACCAGATCACCCCCAAAATCGGAAGTTGGGTCCTAGAGGAAGTATCGAAATCCATCATAAAAAAGTTACTCACGAATAGTTCAATTTAGGTTCGTCAAAGCTAAGTTTTTCCGCTCCCGGCTGTTTGAAAACAATAAATGTATACCTGTGAAAACCTGTAATAATTCATTTCGTATAGAATTCAAAAAAAAATTCAAAACTATCGAGTGAAACTGACAATGAGTTATCCTCAGGTGACTGACGTATACTTTTATGGGTATTTTAAAGTTACAGAGAATAGTATGCTTTTTGTTCAAGTGAATACCACTATCATTGATATCGTTTCGTTTTTTTCATCCATCTAGAATTTTATAAATAAATTAAAGTTACAGAGAATAACAGTATGCTTTTTGTTCAAGTGAATACCACTATCATTGATATCGTTTCGTTTTTTCATCCATCTAGAATTTTATGAATAAATCATGGCATAGTGATGCGAGTAGAATTTGTTCCTTATTTGTGCGTGTCTTTCGCGAATCAGTTATATCGTTCAAAATTCTATACTTTTCGTGTTGAAAAAAGCTAACTGCCTTCGAATTTAATCGGAAAAGTTGCGGGTTAAGAATCGTTGAATTTGCAATTTGAGAGGGAGACCCTGGTGAGACAAAGAAATTTCTGCAATGGCATATTTTGATGAGTAGGTTCAGAGGAAGAAAAATGTTACTGGGCACAAAAGTCAGATGTCTACACGTAATGAATTGACCCATATAAATCTGCTTGCCGATTAAAGACATCTTGTCACAGTGCAGAGGGCTGTAACTCATACGTCCAATTTAGTTCTGATGGTGCAGATTTTGTACCCGTGAAAGAGCATTCCAATGTCGCTAACCTTGCAAACATAAACGATCATCTAAACTAGTTTCACCTCTACTTCCAATGAACTATGAATTTGAGACGAAAATTACCGTCGCAAAGTTTACTTTTTGCGAAGAATGTACCTAAGTTGCACAATCCCGGCAACATTGAAATGCTCTTAGTTCCTTTTTGCAAAATGCAATCCAATTGGTTGTTGCTGCAAAAAAATAGTTTCCCACAACCTGCTATACAATGCTCCAGTGACCATGTAAGTTGGCCCGAGCGCACTAACTTTTCGGGAAGAAAGCCTTTCCCCTACCTGGTTTCTCACTTAATATCCACCCGAGTTTCGCATATCTTCCGTTTTTCCTCATCGCAGCTTCCATCAAACCGCAATTGCCCGGAAACTAGGACCGCACATTTTATCTGATAAAATCGTTCGCCCTTTAGACCGATTCTGGGGGGTTAGGCTAGACTAGTCGATGAGTCAACTGTTGATCTAATTTCATTACGTGAACGTAGAAGAAAAACGGGGTAAAAAATCACTAATGTGGGATCAATTTTCAAGGACAATTCTGTAATTTCTCCTACGATTTTAAATAGATTAAAACGCGTAATATCGAAAATCTAAGCTCAGATTCGGATTCCACGTGAAAACTTGGTGAGATTTTATGCATCATATGTTAGAATAGCGAGAAGGAAAGAGGTTTAATGACGTAAAAAAAACACTAATGTGTGATCAATTTTCAAGGACAATTCTGTAAATTCTCCTACGATTTTAAATAGATTAAAACGCGTAATATCCAAAATCTAAGCTCAGATTCGGATTCCTCGTGAAAAATTGATGAGATATCATGTATCATATGTTAAAATAGCGTGAAGGAAAAAGGTTTAACGACGCGTATAGATTCTGCCATACTTCCCTTTTGAACTACGCCGCCGCGCCGATCGCCCGAGTGAAACCGAACGGGGAGGCGCCAGTTAGCGCCGGCCAAGCGTTCGGTTTCGTCGCGAGGAATTCCTCACGATAAATTCTTATTCTTCCTCCTCCGCTGACCCACTGAGCACTACCCATGTTGCCACGTTGGATTCATATGCTCGAATCAGTATGTCTACGTTACGTCTCTTTCCTTCACGATATGCTCGGGTATGATACATGAAATTGTATCAATTTTTAACGAGGAATCCGAATCTGAACTTCGATTTTGGGTATCACGCGTTTTAAGTCAAATTTTCCAAATTCGAAAATCTGAAATGAGTGACGTGGCTTAAATTACCATCTCGGCTCCCGTTCGATGGATTTTCCTGAAATTCGGTGTCAGGGTATGATACATGAAATCGCATCGATTTTTTACGAGGAATCCGTCTCTGAACTTCGATTTTGGGTATTGCGTTTAAGCGTTTAAGTCACGCGTTTTAAGTAAAATTTTTCAACTTCAAAAATCCGAAATGACTGAAGTGGCTTAAAATGCCATCTCGGCTCCTGTTCGGTGGATTCTCCTGAAATTCGGTGTCAGGGTATGATACATGAAATCGCATCGATTTTTTACGAGAAATCCGAATCTGAGCTTCGATTTTAGGGATCACGCGTTTTAAATCAAAATTTGTCAAAATTCAAAATTCGAAAATCCGAAATGGCTTAAAATGCTATCTCGGCTCCTGTTCGATGGATTTTTCTGAAATTCAGTGTCAGGAGGTATTTTTCGACGGGAAACTCGAATTTTTAGTCCATTTTTTAAAATTCTCAAATTCAAGATGGCGGACGTGGGCTAAAATGCTATCTCGGTTTCTGTTTGTTCGAGTCTTGTGGAACGCGGTATCACACGGTATTTTTCAACGGAAAACTCGAATTTTTAATCAATTTTTTAAAATTCTCAACTCCAAAATGTTGGATGTGGCCTAAAATGAGCCCCGTTTCTGGCCTCCATTTCTGTTCATTGGAGCTTTGTGAACCGCGGGATCAGAGGTACTTTTCGACGGGAAACTCGAATTTTTAGTCGATTTTTGAAAATTCTCAAATCCAAGATGGCGGACGTGGTCTGAAATAATATGTCGGCTCCTGTTCGATGGATTTTTCTGAAACTCGGTGTCTGAGGGTATTTTTCGACCGAAAACTCGAATTTTTACTATGTTTAAAAATTCTCAAATCCAAGATGGCGGACGTGGTCTGAAATGCTATGTCGGCTCCTGTTCGATGGATTTTTCTGAATCTCGGTGTCCCAGGGTATTTTTCGACCGGAAACTCGAATTTTTAGTCAATTTTTAAAAATTCTCAAATCCAAGATGGCGGACGTGGCCTAATATGCTATCTCGGTTTCTCTTCGTTCGAGTTCGCTGAAACTCGGTATCGCGGGGTATTTTTCGACGGGAAATTCAAATTTCTAGTCAAATTTCCAAAATTCGTAAACCCAAGATGGCGGCCGTGGCCCAAAATTTCATCTCGGCTCCTGTCAGTTTTTTTGAAACGTAGTATTAGGGTAATTCTTTCCAGTCAAATCTTCAAAATTTAAAAATCACGATTGCTAGAAACCAGAGCATGTATGGTGGGTTATGAAAAACTATTTTTCGCAGGAACAAGTAACCCGCTTCTTCAAAAATAGCAACTTCACCCTCATAAGTATGTATAGTGAAGAAATTTTTAGCCAGGATATTTTTTAACTGACAGTAGGTATTCCATGTAAACTTTTAATGAGCCGCCGGAAAATCATATTCTATACGTGTTGAATATAAAAATGTAAACATTCTAAAATGAAAATCCAAAACAGGAAGTGCTGATCGTAATGCTTGGTATTCCAACAGAATTTTTCTCTTTTTGAATGCACACATGATTCCTACCCCTGTGAAACATCAACGAAGGTTTTCATGGCATTTACAGGCAAAAAGCAAAGGCTAAAACAAGGTACCTCGTACACTTTCATTTCTAAAATCCTTAAAAAACTATAGCATATTAAAGATGCCAAAAAATTGAGATAAAAATGCCTCCTCTCCAAAACTTATGGCTAACAAGAAATATTCTTTGTCCATGATTACAAAACTGAAAAAAAAAAAAAAAAAAAAAAAAAAAAACTATGATGTGCTTCTATTTTCGATTTTTCACGTCAAGTTATATTACATGCATGTTTTTGCCTCGTCATTGACAATTGAGTGAACCTGTGAATCAGATTGAGGATCTCATATGTTTCATGGGAGTAATTTTCTTCCGGCCGAGAATGTATTACATTTGAGATTTCTTTTTTTCAACGACACAAATAAACAAAGTGTATTTCACATACCTAAACTCAAAACATTATTGTATGATATGAACGATGTTGCAGCAATAACTGTTGCGCTGTTGACTCATACAGTAACAACTCGATGAGATTGAGGAAAAATTGAAAAGGAACGCTGATTTATCAATGGGCATCTCATTTTTATAAAACGTAATACACCCGAGAGTTAAACGTGTACAATCGTTTCAGTGCGTATGAAATGTGGCATCACGTGGTATAATGCAATTGGGCATGAAATCTGAGAGAGCTCACAAGGGCTCCTGCCTCAATTTAAAAATCAGGACAGCATTGCGTGTTCTCTCCCCCACCCCTTACAAAAAGCGCATACTTTTACACCTGTATCGCAAGTCGTAATTTTTTTCAAGTTTTCAGTACGATTATTTATCCATTTTTTAGAATCCCAAATTTTAATTTCCTTTTCGAGTTTCCAGAACTTTTCTTTCACGCAACAACAAAATCATTAATCTGTTCCATGACACAAGTTTAAAAAATAAAAAAAAAATGAATAAAATAGACACGCTGCCTCTGCACAATTTTTCATTATGCATACATGCCCAATATCAGATCCATCCTCGACTCCTTCATTTTTCATGCACCAAAAGCTACAAGTATTCAACCCACGCCACAACACGGAACTCTACCTCCCGCCCCTCACTCACTCTTCAGGGTGGTCAATTTTAAGCTATCCTTAATATTGCACTAAAGTTTAACATGAATGAAAGCTCTTATCATTCCATTAACATTCCAGCACACGCAAGAGTTGCAAATATTGATTAGAACCGTACCGATCCGAATTACGAAAAAATTCAAATAATCAACAACACCTTTCCCAGCCTTAGTTCAGTCAGAATCCAAATTTACCGAAAATTTCAATCGAAACTGGTACCGGTACCTTACCCAAACCGTGCGTTCTTGCCAGATATATCTGAAGTCCGAACAATTCGGGGAACGGATAACGTCGCGACCGAATAATCGCATTTTTTTGCACTTACCAGCAGATCCTTTTTATGGATAAGTTGCAATTATGGAAATTGAATACAAACATAATATTGCGATTCTTCGCACGTTAGTTGCACAGAAACGTTGATCGTGCGTTTCCGGCATAAAATTGAAAATCTGGGCAATGCAGGGAAAAAACTTATTCAAGCACAATATGTCCTCAAAGAAATATGCTATTTGTCGCAAAAAAAATGTTATAGCACATCGACGGTGGAACGGCGCGAAGCTTACCGCGGTTTGCACGCGACATGCTGCACACGTAATTTTTTAAATGAAAAATTGCTCGACGTTATTTCTTGAAAACATCTAGCTCCGATCTTCTTTTTCATCCTCTTTCATTGGGTAAAGTGTGCTCTGCATACTCCGTAAAAATTTTAAGGAACAGTTTTAGTTCGTTTCTTCTCAAAATAATGAACCAGGTACGGTGCAAACTAGGTAAGGGCTCACATATTGAGCTTGTGATCATTGGATGTTACTTTGCAGTAAGAACAATGGAAAAACTTAGTTCGCCTTCAACATTAAAGATATGCAATGTGAGCCACTCGAGATTCAAAATAATTGTGTCACCTATACCGCCGTGCTAAGGAAAAACACCGTATGAGCCTTCAGGCGTTGCCAAATCTCCTTCGATGAAATACGAAATTCCTGGAAAACTAGTGCATATTTTTCTCCCAATTTTTTTCACAGAATTTAATTCACAATTTTATCTATAATATCTGAAAATTTCGAGGGGAAATATTCATTAGTCTCTCGAAAAATGAACATTTTACTGCAGAAAATTTGGCAACTCTCGAATGCTCATACGACGTTCTTCCTTAGCACGGCAGTAACTAAGGTCCCTCAGCGCGCACTTTAACGAGGAACGGAATAAACTGAGTGCCGGATCACTGGCCGGAGGAGACGATATGGAAGGAATGGACTAATATCAGCCTATCAGCATTTCATGTTGCGTATGTTTTTGTATCAAGTTTTCTCTATATTAACTGAAATATCAAGTCTCCATAGAATGATCTTGAGAGGAAAAAAAAGAAGAAAAAATGAGAGACACTAGTTTACCGCAGGCTTTGATCGGATGAGGTGGATACCAGGGAACCAATTCGTCACCATGTTCCTTGATTGTTCCTGGAATGTTCCCAATGAGCCAGTGCAGAAACTCTCGCTTTGTGGCATCAGCACGAGTGGGATTGTCTGGATCTGAATGAAATTTTTACAGATTCCTTTTCAATATCTAGACACGGAGATATTTTTCTCGAGACTGAAGCTACTTATAAACGTGTTATAATATACTTTCCAGACTTCGGTGGTTTGCACCAAAATAGGCGTTTCTTATCAGTTTTGCAATCTATATACATTTCTTAAAGGAACACTTAAGGGACGGGGTTTTTAAAAAGGAATTCCAGCTATTTTAACAAAAATTATTCAGGTCACATTAGCATGGAAGCGGAAAAAAAGAAGGTTGGAAATTGTAAATAGGTATTCCTCCATAAGATTTAATGTTAGCGATGAGTTTAGCGGCGGGTTTTTTTTTTTCAAAATATTTTTTCTGAACCCTGAAAAAAATTTTAGGAGCAAAAAATGTGCGGCTAATCAAGCTTAAAACTACTGGTGTAACTCATTTTTTTCTCTCAAAATGTGACTTGTGATCTCTGCGAGAGCACTGGTTTGTTAAAGATCGATTAAATTAGTGTTTTGAAGACATAACATATTTATAGATTACTTAAAATCTTTGATTTTGCTTTGAATTGTGGGGATGTAAATTGATGGGGAAATAAAAATTTCTCTTTAATTCAGTTCAATTTATCCATGACAACGTTACCTGTCATTATAAGCGTATAATATGTCTGATTGGCCTCAATCGGCCACGAGACCTTTGGTTCTTCTTGACACTCTCTTTCATCGATGGCATTCCCGAATTCAACAATCACCTTATCGCTGAACTTAACCTTTAATGAAGCAATGAGAAATATGACAAACATTATTCAAGAGAAAATAAAAAGAAAGTTCTTTCGCAGGGTGATACTTAAGTATCACCCTCAAAAATCCTTACTAAAAAATCCTACTCAAAATCCTTAAGGATTTTGAACTTCGAGACCTCTTAATCACTTAGCTAGAAAAACCTGCCCCGTACGAGGTAAAGTAAAGTAATTGCCGATTCTATTTCACTACATAATACATCATTCCCACAACATGATTCCTCAGTTACTCTTCTTTCTTCATTTCTTTCTTTCTTTCTTTCTTTAGATGCTAAAGCACAGCTTTAAAATAAAATTATTTTACTACTACTACTACTTTCTTTCTCTCTTGATAGAAGAAATTACCACATTTCTGATACACACAATGGCACGGAAAGGAGATAACTGATGCTGAGAACAGTGCTTTCTATTTTTGGGCCTTAAAAATTATCTTATTATATTAACAGAATTTTTTGGCGTCTCCACTCTTTTTATCTTCATAAAACCTCGACCGCAAACACAGAGTAATCTAAGTTTGCAGTGGAAACATTTTGTTAATTTGAGACAAAAAAACGCTTAGGAATGCCTCATCCAAAATGTTCCTTGCTTTAATTTTTTAATTTTTTTAAATATAAATTTACTTTAAAGAAATGTTCTACTTGGATAAACTTCACTCGATTCCCTTTAGAAATTTCATATGTAAGGAGCGACGCACAAAATGGAATGAATGAAATGAGATCCTAAGCTGGATACAAATATTGCCATTTGATAATCACAAATTGGAGTAAAAACCAGGGACATCATGTCAGCTCGAATATGTTGGCATTAATTGACTATTAATTGAGTCAGATGTTGGAATTCATCGTCGAACTTTCCGATTTTAAATGCTTGGTTATTCAAAGTACGTGTATGATTTTACAAATTTAAGTTAATATTCCTCTGCTTCATTAAACATACCTCAATTATGTTGGTTGGAATTGTGTCAAGAAGATTTGGTTCTATCTGGAAACGATCACACATTTTTTTAATATACTCTGGTGTTATCAGATTTTCACCGACAGCATACCATACTTGGAAAGCTGCAATCAGTTGATACAGGGATAGGAGGATCATTATGCGTTGAGTGTTTTTTCTATTTTTCCAAAGCAGAGATCCACAGAATCCTTATTTTTAGTGTTCAGCTTGTATTTAGAATATTGCGATGAAACTGTATAGAAAAAGGGCACAAGATCCAGCAATGATGAACAGAAACTATGCAGAGAAACGATGTTTTTATTTAGGTAATTCTCAGGCTCAAAGTCTGGATTGTAGAGAGAAGAGACTGGAAAATAGTATTCAAAAGTTTAATTTCTCGTAGGTTCGGGGCACAAAAAAAATCTTCGAATGCTAGTACAACTTTACATCCCGTATTGACACAAAAGTGATTTCTACCCTTGAAACTTATTCTATTAATATTTAAGTTTCCCGCTAATAACTATAAGTCTTAAACCCAACATTAATGAGAAGGGTTCCTTTGAAAATTTTGTATCTGTGGGTTATAACGGCCCCTTTTCTCGTAGATGGTCTTACTTTGATTTTTGAACGAATCTCTGAAGTCCAATCCTTCTTTAAAATGGCTCGAAGAAAACTTGATTGATTGAGCTGGGGAATATAATTATCTCTCAAAAATTGATTTCTATTCACTCGCGTTGCAATTCAGAACATTCGTATAGAACTTCAGTATATAGAAGTGTGCATAAATGGGGGGAAACTCGGTTCGCCTTCAATTAGAGACTTATGCAATTTGAGCTACGCAGGAGTTAAAATATTTGTATTACCCAGTTTGGTCGTGTAGCCTGTAGCATCCGCTTTAATATAAATCAGCCAGACTGTATTTCACGCAGACTGCTTTTTTTCATGATTTATTTATTTTGACAGATCGCCGAAAAAAATACCGCTCAGAAACTTTATATAAATGATCTCTTAATTAATTATGAAGAATACGAAATCTCTAATAAAAAAAGATGCGCCTGCTGTCGTACAGCTGAAGTCTGATTGTTGAAATTTTGTGTTTGTCGACCGGATGAAACAAGATTAAGGAGAAAATGGAATTATGTGATTGGTCGGTGCTCTTAGTTGGCGTCTTGTCGTGCCAATGAAGGGTATGATCAACGAGAAGCTAAAGGCACCCCTTAAGATGCCGATGCTCCATCTATCCTTTCAAATCCAATCCTACAATCCATCCTTTATCAGTACTACAAGATGCACGACTCAGATATGACTCTATTTTCCTAAATTGTCTTAACCGGTGGACAAACATATAATTTTAACAATCAGGCTATTGATCCTGAAATGAATCCGTCCATTTCTCGAAGCTAAGCCTCTCAAGTCAACCAAGAATGATGAACAAAACAAAATATTTTACTTAACTTACGATTATACTTCTCATGATAAGGCAGAAAAATTGCGCTGAAGAAATACTATGACATGAAAACTCATCGTGATTGCAAACACTTCTCTCATTATTTTTGATCAATTTATTTCATCTTTCAATTCATTTCCACACTAAAATCGACGCCACCTGTCCCTGAACTTTCCGTTACGCGGGACTTTCTCATTCTATCGAATGTTTTAAAGTTAGTATCAGCATGAATCATGAGAAATCTAGAAACTAAACGTAAACGCACCAAGCTTCGTTAATAACTTTCAAAATGCATTTCACCGGGAGGCCGCGGTGGAAGTATAAAATTACGCAACTTGAGCAGGTATATACTGCATATGATCAGATAAGAGGACCACGCACAAAAAGCCCAAATTATTTGACAAAACAAACACATGAGAAAAATGGATACAAGGCTAAAATGTACAAAAACAATGTCGTGTGACCGATACGGTGGTTTTGAGCACTTTGTCAACTAGGAAAAAAATAATAAATATAATAAAAATAAATGAAAAAAAAAAACACTAAGAAAAGGTCCGAACTGTATGTAACAAGGTGGAGAAATGGTGCTGAGTCCACACCATTTCACGGGGAAAACAAAGCCAGGAAGTTCCAAAAATTATAAATAGAGTTACAATTAAATTTTTTTGAACTCTAATGCCTACCAGTACGAAACTGAAGGGAATAATAAACATATAGAGGAAGATTTCCAAAAAAGTATGACCTTGAATTCTTGTTGTTAATTACATATTAGGGAGTAAGTTTTCTTTTACGGATCAACAGGTCACAAGAATTTTGACACTCCTAGTTTGCAACTTGCACAGGGTGTGCCACCCATCAGCCCTAAATAGAAAACTGATGGTGGAAAACTTACAACCCATCGACGCACGTTCGGTAATTACGCATTCAAAAATTCCTATTTTTGAAAATGCTGCTCAAGAAGTTGTCTTTGAATGCGAGGAGAAATGTTGAAACTTCTGAATTAGTCAATTGCTGCTATTTTATCAACCATGCTACTAAAAAGATTGAGGAAGAATTTGTTTTCTATGTGACGCTCAAAATTGGTTCTCAAATAACTTAAATGCTGGTAAATTGACTGGATCTTCGCTGCGCACAAAATGCCCTCATGATTTTTATGATCATTCACTACTAGTATATTGCTTCAGGTTTCATCTCATTCAAACGTAACGTGTAGGAAACTAAGTAAACAGGATAGCCATATTTCGATTTAGGATAAAAAGCACCCTGCTCAAATCACATGCTATCATAGAGTCAATTGTTTTCTTTCGTTCCTCGCTAAAATCGAGAGTTAATTATTATTTCTCAAATCTGCTCGAGTCCGATGGTCTAAAATTCTTTTCCATGGCCATCATTTATAATTTTTAAAAAAGTTATGTCTTTAATTCGCTCATTACTCAATTATCAAGATATAATTATGTACACAACAAAGAAAAACACAAGTTTGATGTATTATTATTCTTTTTAATGATAAAAATTGAAGGCAGTACAGTAAATGAACAGGCTGATATCAAAATGGGATTAACATTGCAGTATTTTAATGGGGGAAAAACCATAGATCGGAGGATCTCAGCCTCGATTTAGATTTCATATTATTAACAACTGACATAAATATTTCTCTTTTCTACATCGGTGAATCTAATTGAACCGCGCCATTTGTTCGCATGGTGAGTTATTACAATAGGTCTGACAGCGTAGTCCAGATAGAACTTCTATTAGATCGACTCTCACCTATTGTTGGTTGGATCTTTCACAGATTCAATATTTTTCAAACTATTAAGGAAAGAAAAAGGAAAAAGAAACAATATATAATCCTAGCTATTTTCATTTTTTCCGAAAATCCTAAGATACGTCAGACTCATCTATGATCTTATGGTCATAAAAATCAAGTCAATGAAATGAAACGGAAAAAGACGGAAGAGAAAGAAATCGGATCTTCAACACGACCTTAACATATTACCGCACCTGAACTGAGGTCAAACTAGCACCGTGTTGACAAAATGATATCTGATCCGGAGCAACGTCAAGTCATAATTTTGACAACATATCATGTCATCCCTGCCTACCGCCCTATACCGTGACTGTGAGCATAATGTGTGTATATACTTTCTCGGAGGAAAATCAAAGAGGTCTCTTGTCAAAATGATCAATGGACCATTAGACAAGGTACGAATTTAAGCGATCTGATACATGTTACTTAACCAGAATTTAGCGTAGAAAACGATTCACACAACGAAAATTACGGAAACCAACTCCTAACGAAGATATTAACGTTTTTATTTCACATTGGTTACGAGGAATTTGAATTGCCCGCTCACATGAAACTCAAAACTCTACGTGAGTCAAATCGCCCACTTACAACGGTTTCAGCAAGCTTCTCAATCGAGCAATGTTCATTTCCCATCATGTGTTGTTCAAACTATTAGCAATTTGCTATAACTGAGCCAAACCGTCAAGATTGAGGTTGCCAGATTTTTATATCGCAGAGACTGTCATGATAACGTTTAACGCGCGATGTGAATCACGTAGAGCATTGAGTTTTCATGAGCGAGTGGTTTGAATTCACGCATTAAGAATCATTAAATATCTTCGTAAGGAGTTAATTTCGGTAATTTTCGTTGTGAGCATCGTGTTTTACGTAAAATTTTGGTTAAGAAACATGTATCAGAATGCTGAAATTCGTACCTTATCTAGTGGTCCATTGACCATTCCCATGGTCAAGGTGCGTTGCTGTTGAAGTCAATTGATATCAACTGCGTTTTGACGATGACTAACCTATCATTTCCACGTGGAACACAAGATGAATAGTGCCGTGCCAAGGAAAAACGCCGTATGAGCCTTTAGACGTTGCCAGATCTCCTTTAATAACAATTGAATTTACTGGAAAAATTGTTCATATTTGTTGTCAAATTTTTCAGATAATTTTGTTCGCAATTCGATCTAAAACATCTGTAAATTTCACGGAAAAATATGCATAACTTTCCTAAGAAATACATGTTTTATCCGGAGAAAGTTGGCAACTCTCGAATTTTCATACGGCGTTCTTCCTTAGCACGGCAGAATACTGCCGTTGTAGAAAAAATGCCATATATGCGTCCTTGTTCTGCCATTATTTGCCCGACGAAACAGTTATTTTGGAAAAGAGTCAGGGATATTGTTCTCTTAGCATTTTCTTAGACAGCAGACTAAATAGTGAGAAAATATTTCTGGGATAACTACATTTTGGAAATTACAGATGATAAAAAAAAATGACAAATTTTCATTTTCATGATGAAATCATATCGACTGCGTAAGTCCGCAATCACAAATCTCGTTTGCGGTGTCTGAAAATCTTCGCCTCTTTGTTATTTTTTTAAAGTAGAACGAACTGACATCTTTTCTTGAATTTTTCGCAGAATTTTCTTCGCACAGAGATAAAAAATCACGGCAGTTTGAAAGAATTGCCGTTGAGTAGTATTCCGTTAAAAAATAAAATATGACAGGAAGTCTGCGACGTCGCAAACTGAGTTACATGATTGCCGACTTACACCGTCGATATACTCCCCCTCCCAAGGTTGTGAATGTAAGAACATTCCGTAAAACTTTAAATCACGAATTTTATCGAGAATGTGTGCACTCTTAACAGAATTAAATCACATTTTAGCTTAGTATCGCCAAACTCGAGTAGCGTCTTTCCGGCAGAAGACGAGAGAGTGGTCAAGAAATAGTCCACTTTTTCTCTAAGGCACAGATTGTTGTAATAATCTCAATTGGGCTACATTTTGCAATTTGGTACTATAAATTCTAACCCGGTTGAAAGACAACGTATGTACCATTAGTTTCTCTATGCACATAAGTGTTTTTCCAGAAGAGCCAGAATTTATAGTTCCAAATCGCAAAATGCAGTCCAATTTCTGAAACACTTTGGCTCATTTCTCGATGAGAGCAATGAGCCTCCTATGCGGCACCATAACTCTACCACCATCCAACTCCTTAAGGGCGTTGTCCTTCCTCATGATTTGCGTGCACTCCTCCAAATACTGATCCTTCAGTTCGGCGGGTATCTTCGAATTGTATTTATCCAATGACTCGATCAACTCTGCAAAAATTAAAGGACGAACCCACTTGAAAACAAGTCATGTACTTAAAATTGAGAGATTAATGCCTAAAGTGGCATAAGATACAGTACGTTGTGATTTTTTAGCCAACGTGCATTTAAAAATCCATGAAACTGGGAATCTCACAGCAGAGGGAAGAAGCTCATATTAGCACAATTTTCCCTTAAAGAGATACGCTATTTGGTGCAACACTAGTTACGACCATTCAGGACGCCATAGGCGGATCCAGCAAATTCGCAACATAGTTTTCTCTCCATTTAAATCCATGGAAATGTATCGATTCTTGGAGGGGCTTGGTGATCTGACCAGAATCGATTATTTAACATAGGTTTAAATGGGGGAAATCCGGTGTTGTCAAGTTGCTGGATCCGCTTGCGAAGACGCGTTCAGGTCTAGTTGGACCCATTCTCAGTGCGTCGCTGGCGGCGAGTAAACTTGCGCCATTTAGTGAGCGATTATCTAGACAGTTCCGTATATAAGCCTTGGCAAGGCAGTTTTATAAGCTGATTTCGGTAGACGCACTAGTCGTAAGACAGTAAGTTGTAATTTTTTGTAACTAATGTTGCACCAAACAGCGTATCTCTCTGAAGGAAAATTATGCTCAAATGAGCTTTTTCCCTCTACAGTGAGCTTTCCGGTAACGCTTCATCTTGTCCACAGTTCATGGACGCCACGAACAAAAATCTTAAATTAGTATGTGTTCAAACTATCCACGTTCGTGGACTCCACGAACAAAAATTTAATTTCAAATAACTGTAAATTTTGACACCGTGCATAAGTTTGTACAAGTTCCAAGTTTGTAAAAGTTCAAGTTTATAAGTCTAAAGTCTTCTTCAAAAGTTGCAAGTCCTTATCATAAGTCATGCTTGAGCTTAGCTTTGAGTAATTTGTGAAAACTTGGTTCGTGGACTCCACGAACACCTCATATAGATTTAAGGTGTTCGTGAAGTCCACAAACGTGGATAGATTGAACACACTAATTTCAGATTTTTGTTCGTGTTGTCCGTGGTGTCGTGTGTATTTTTAAACGCACGTTGGCTAAAAAATTACAACGTACTGTCATACGACTAGTGCGTCTACCGTAATTAGTTTGTAAAGAGGCATAGGCAGAACTAGGATTTTTTTGTGGGGAGGGGGGCGGAAGGGTATGTCATCAAGGGTGAGTCTTGGGGGCACAAAAACAACAACCCGCCAGG